AGATCCGTGTAGTGACCGAGGTATTTGTCGAGAAGGCGGTTCAGGTGCGTGCTCGCTCGAAGATAGCTTCCCCATGTTGAGTCTTCGCGCTCCCATCCGACGTAGCTGCGCGACATTTGGGCTGCTCAAGTCGCGGAAGAGAAGGCGGCTGGGCACATTGAGGTTCTTTCCTGGTTGAAGCGGATGACTTTGGACGTCATCGGGCAGGCTGGTGCGTTTCCTCATCATTGTGTATACTCCACGGAAGATGAAATTTATATTCCAAGGGTTCAACTATCAGTTTGAGGCTCTCGACGCCAACGGAAAGTCAAACGAGCTCCACCACGCCTTCAAAGAGCTCTTCGACTCGCCGCAGGCCAATCGCAATGGTGCTTTCCGGCTCTCACAGGCAATGGTTCCAATTCTTAAACTCCTGGTATCTCCAACATCTCTTAATGACGCCAGGCGACTGATGAGGATAGCCCATGCCAGGTAGGAGGATCCTTGCGAATGCTCGGGCGAAGATGCAGGCGATTGGTGGCCAGATCCTCTCGCAGAGTAAGGCGACTGTGGAGGCTTCTGGAGGCGAAAAAGCTCTCGGGAGCAGACGGGATATACTGTCGGTGCTTCTCAAAGCAAACATGTCGCTGGATATTCCGGATAGCCAGCGCCTGACGGACGCCGAGGTTATCGCGCGTAAGGAAGTTCCTCGACCGATCTGTTTGGATACGACTCACCGCGATGCGCAGAGATCCCTACGTTCTTCTTCGCGGGCCACGAAACCACGAGGTTGACTCCATCGTCTTGAGATATGACTCGGAGCTGATTCGCTCGCTCGCTTGCCTCATAGTTCGGCGACCACTTGGGCACTACATGCTCTGTCCTTGAATATCGCAGCCCAGACGAAACTGCGCGAGGAGCTCCTGACCATGTCGACTGACAACCCCACCATGGATGAGCTCAACTCACTTCCGTACCTCGAGATGGTCCGTCCGGTTCCCCACACCACTTATACCACCCAGGCTCATAGATACTCAGGTGGTGAGGGAAACGATGCGCGTACATGCACCCGTGGTGTTCACCAAGCGCATGGCAATGGAAGACGACGTACTGCCTCTCTCTAAGCCGTACGTCGACAAGACCGGGAAGGCCTACGACAATCTCCCGTATGTGCCGACCCCATCTTATACTGCGAACCTTTCCGACCTAGTGCTTTCAGAATACCCAAAGGGCAGGTAATGCATATCCCAATTTTGGCTGTCAACACCGATCCGGAGATCTGGGGCCCGGACGCCCGCGAGTTCAAGTGCGCCGATTTGTTCCATGTAGGACAAATGGCACGCTAATAAACCTCATCCGATAGACCCGAACGCTGGGAAAAAGTCCCCGACGCAGCCGGAGACGTGCCCGGCGTATGGGCCCACCTCCTCACGTTCTTTGCGGGGCCGCACAACTGCATCGGCTTCCGTTTCTCTCTCGTCGAGTGCGTGTCTCCTGTTCATCCTATCATGCTAATTTTTGACGTCTCGGATGGTAGAATGAAGGCCTTGCTGTTCACGCTAGTCCGCGCGTTTGAGTTTGAACCGGCGGTGCCCAAAGGCGGAATAGGCCCGAGCGCATCGGTACTTCAACGGCCCGTGGTGCTAGCCGATGCGGGGAAAGGATCCCAACTTCCGCTGATCGTGAAGCCATTCAATACTCAGGCTTTCTAACGTCAGCCCGAGGGCTGTTTCATCGTGCCTCAATGAACAATCTGCACTACTGTAAACAATTCCCGTGTTCAGCACTCCTGTTTTCGCCAGAAATATTCGACAGTCGAAAAAGCTGACTCATTTGTTGGAATACGGCATTGAGATTCACGGGACAGAATTTTCGTATTCACTTTGTGCGATATTTCTGTCGCCCCGTCAACTTCAAACGCGAGCATGTTTTCCAACTGCTTGTTCCTGCTGAACATGATTGGCAAAGTGTGTACATAGTATGAGCATCCGAAATTTCTCCAGACCCCGCACAGCACCCAAATTCCTTCCGATAGCCTTGTTGTCGGACGGGTCGAGCATAGTATATCATTTAGTAGAAGGGAAGAGACAAGGCACGCCCGCGCCCTGGCGGCTGCCGGTGGCGTCAATTCATCGAGGTTTTGACAATGCCGCAAAGACTCGCAAATCGCCCCTGTTGCGTGATTTGGACGGCTCGGGCTCCGCGCGGGGCACGACGCGCACGAGCGCGGAAGCTTTCTGGCGAGCCGGACGCGGACGCAGGCACGCAGTCCGCCAGATGAACTCAGGGAGACGGACGAGCGCGACTGGCGGGGCTTCGACGGGCAAAGATGGAGAGGGACGTACGCCGGTAGGGAGCGCTGGGAACCCGAGGTGCAAGCGTCAAGCGCCCAGAAATGAAGGACTCCTCCGGCTTTCAAAGGAAAAAAACAAGTGATATATTGCGCGCGCGCGGACAACTTTTCTTTTTCTGCATCCTCCGACCGTCTATTATTTTGACCTGCAGGATAAATTAGCCTCAGAGTATCATAAAAGGCGGGCGCAAGAATTGGAGCTGATCTGGTACTACTAGCCTGAATGAGGTTATAGAGAGGATCGTGATTGCATTCTCAGAAATTCAACCAGACTGCTACAGTTAAGCCATGTCAAAGCAAAGAAAAAGAATCAAATTAGCCCCATTGCTCGAGCCCGAGTCGAACGGACTTCTCCTGTAATGTTTTGCGGGACCGGTGCAAGGAAGGCAGATGCGGACCTTCCGCCATCGAGCAGATATCGGAGTGTCGCTGTCCCTTGCTTTCCGGTACTGGACTGAATGCGCTTACTTGATAAAATCTTGGGCTACAGAAAAGTTGAGGCATGTGGTGCAGCATCGGAGACGCGTGCTTCTCCGCTGTCCAGCATGGGAACGCATTCGTCCTCCGCTGCAACTTGCCTCGTATGGTGCTAACCTCCTCGGTGCCGTCGACATCCCCTCCCTGCTGTCAAACCCGAAGCTCCTCAAAGCCCTGACCAAATATATCGAAGCGACCGGTCGGTTTTCCTCGTGATCTCATTGTCTCTTTCATTCTTTTCTTTTCTATTTCTCTCACTACTTTACATTCTCTATAATTTCCTTATCTCCGCTCCACCTTATTATGCACCGCACCAGGTCGAGTTCTTCGCAAACCCTCTCGTATCTCTCTCCCACTTCCTGTTGCTACCGCATCTCACCAACTGTTTTCCCATTCTACGTACTCTACTTGTCTCTGCCTCGGCTTACTCATACCAAGTACCTTCTCACCCAAGTTCGTCCCTGACCCTCTCCCTCCCATACAACTTTAGAAGTAGTGTACTGTCGCATAGCTTTTGTAGCCAGGTACGACTACCCTAGAAGTCAAGTCAAGTCAAGACAGAAACGTTAGACGGACTCGATATAAGAACATTGAAAACGAAGCTCACCCACCGCAGCTGGCTGAAGTTTATCCAGCTGACCAGGATAAAACAACGACTGGGCTATGGCTTCCGACTCGCACGGGCGCCTCCCGCGGCATTTCTTGCATAGAGCGCCCTGCCACCGAGCCGATATGCGCTGGGTGTTCTACCGCATCTTCACCACTCCATCGGAGTTTCGGAGTACATACCTACTTGAGAGTCGAATATGTAAGACGAACGAAGAGCGCCAGAAAAGAGGCCTAAGACGATGAGTGTAGATCAATGGTCCGAGATGTATTCGGCCGACCAGAGCAGTCAAGAAAAAAGATGGGTGAGTGGGCTATGGCTCGACCCCGAGTCGAACGGGCTTCCCGCAAGATTCTTTGGCCCACAGGATAAGGTGCGCAGGCGCGGACCCCCGCCATCGAGCTTGACACTCTACGAATCGTCCTTCAACTAGTGCGTGCGGCTTGAGTAAAGATTTCGGGTTGGATCATGTTGAATGCATAACTTATCTACAGTCTGTACATGAAGTAAAGACACGCGGGAATCCGGGCTTCGCAAGCCATCCTGCAAGGAAGAAAAAAAAACCAACTATGTACAACTCCGACGAGGCCTCGGAACCGGCAGTATCAAAAATGTAATACGAACCTTCGAGACAGGGATGAACGTGCAGATGAATGGTCCGAGAAGTATTTAACCCACAAGGGCAATGAAGAAAAAGATGGGCGGTCCTATCATGGCTCGAGCCCGAGTCGAACGGGCGCTTCCTGCGTTACGGGGGACTCGGATCACGGAGCGCAGGCGCGGACCGTCCGCCTTCGAGCCGATACGACCTGAGAATCGTCCTTCAATTAGTCAGTGCGTTTTGATGTCCATTCTGGCTTGAATTCATAACACACCTGCAGAGATTTGTACTGGAGAATGAACTGAGCGGACGAGAGCACAAAACGGAGGTAAAAGTACACTTCTTCTACGGACATGGCGCGACGGCGCCTCCTCCCATCAACCCTCGCCAATATTTTAGCCGCGGATCGCAGGCGCGGACCTAGCCGATACTGGATTATTGCGGTACCTCGCTTTATCAGCTCAAGCCGAGCCTGAGAGCCGTTAGAATCAACTCCGCATACTCGAGTGTCAAAAATGTAAAAGAAAACTTGCTACCTAGCGCGCCGAGACAGGGACGAACTTGCAGAAGAATGGTCCGAGGTGTATTTCAGCGCGCCAGAGCAATGAAGAAAAAGAAGGATGAGTTTGGACTATAGTTCGAGCCGAGTCGAACGGGCTCCTCCTGCAATAATTAGGGGCACCTATCACAGATCGCAGGTGCGGTCCCCCCGCCATCGGGCCGATATCGGCTTACGGGCGACCCTGCTTTCCCAGAGTGCAAAGGAAGAACTGCACCTAGTGGACTTAAAAGCGATCAAGTTTGATTGTGCTGCAAAACATTGGAGTGGCCGCCGAGAAGGAGAGTGCGACCAAACTCCATTAGTGCGAACACGTTTAACCAGTGCGAATACACTTCACCAGGAAGGCAGGGTGGAACTGGCAGATGAATGAAATAAACTTGAGGGAAATCAAGAAAAAGGACATTTTTCCTGTGAAGGCCTATGGCTCGAGCCCGAGTCGAACGGGCTCCTCCTGCAATAATTGGCTGCGCCGATCGAACAAAGAGCGCAGGCGCGGACCCTCCGCCATCGAGCCGATACTGCCTGATTGCGGCACCTCGTTTTATCAGCTCAAACCGAAGCTGGGAGCCGTTAGAACGAGGTCGAGTGTCAGAAATGTAAAACATACTTCCCTCGCTAGGGCCTGAAAGGGATAGGAGGTTTGAGCTGATAACGAGGTATCGCAATGAGGCGGTAGGGGCTCGATGGCGGAGGGTCCGCGCCTGCGCTCGTTAGCTAAAATATTGCCGAGGGTTGATGGGAGGAGGCGCCGTCGCGCCATGTCGGTAAAGGAAGTGTATTGTTGCCTCCGTTTTGTGCTCTCGTCCGCTCAGTGCATTCTCTGGTATATATTCAGGACTACCTCCTCTGCAGGTGTGTTATGAATTCAACCCAGAATTGACATTAAGACGCACCCACTCAACGAAGGACCATTTTCAGGTTGTATCGGTTCGATGGCGGACGGTCCGCGCCTGCGCTCCGTAGGTCCGAGTCTTCGGTAATGATGTTATCGCAGGCGAGCTCGAGGGTCAAAAATGTAAAACGAACCGTCGAGATAGGGAGGAGACTCGCGGACGAATACATCTCGGTGTATTTCAGCGCGCCAGAGCAATAAAGAAAAAGAAAACGATGGACAGGATCCATGGCTCGAGCCCGGGTCGAACGGGCGCCTGCTCCCACCAATCCTCGCCGATATTTAGCTGAGGATCGCAGGCGCGGACCCTCCGCCATCGAGCAGATACTCCTTTATCGAGGTACCTCGTTTTATCAGCTCAAACCGAAGCTGGGAGCCGTTAGAACGAACTCGAGTGTCAAGAATGTAAAACGAACCGTCGAGACAGGGAAGAACTTGCACAGATGATTGGTCTGAGCCGACTAGAATCAAGGCGAAGGCGATAAATAAATAGGTGAGCAAGCGGACTGGTATGGCTCAAGCCCGAATCGAACGGACGCCTCCTGCTCGAGCTCGGGTGTCAGAAATTGTCAAACAAACTTCCCTTGCTAGGGCCCGAAAGGGATAGGAATGTAGATGAATGGTGGGAATGAACGGGAAGGCAATGAATCAAAAGAAAAAGAGAAGAAGCAACCCGTCAATGGCTCGAACCCGAGTCGAACGGGCTCCTCCTGCGATATCAATTGGTCCAGCAATATTGTGCGCAGGCGCGGACCGTCCGCCATCGAACCGATACAACCTGAGAATGGTACCCGAATTAGTGGATGCGTTTCAGTGTTGACACCCGAGTTGAATGCACAACTGGCTTGCTGCGTCCTGTAGATGAAGTAGCGACACGCGGGAATGCGGGCTACAGCCTACAGGGCCATCTGAGCAGCTTGATTGAGTCGATGCGAACGCATGCAATAAAAAAAAAGATAGCCAGGATCCATGGCGCGAGCCCGAGTCGAACGGGCACCTCCTGCGATATCAATCACTTTGCCTCAGCAGTATTGAGCGCAGGCGCGGACCCACCGCCATCGAGCCGATGAAATCTGGGAAGGGAGCTTCGTCAAGGAGGCGCGTTGGTGGCTGTCCGGCGTGAGGTGACAGACGAAACACGCACTTTAGGTATTGAAGAGCCTGTAAAAATCCGGGTCGCATACCCGCTCCGAGCCATTGATACTGGCGTAAAAAACGCGCAAACACGGAGGACGAGTCAGTTCACCTGATCTGAGTAAGCAAATGAGAATGAGGCAAAAGGACACATTTGCACTTTATGGCTCGCCCCCGAGTCGAACAGGGATCAGCTGCAGGAATTGGTTGTCTTCCAAACTTGGTGCAGAAGCGACCGTCCGCCATCGAGCCTCTATAACCTAGGAAGGGAGCGTCGTCAAGTACGTGCGTTGGTGGCTGTCCCGCGTGAGGTGAAAGACACATCTACGCTCTTTGGCTCGCCCCCGAGTCGAACGGGGGATCGTCTGCAGAAATAAGCCGTCTTCCAAACTTGGTGCAGAAGCGGACCGCCCGCCATCGAGCCGACACCAGCGTACTAGCGTACCTGGCATCCCCAGCGCTGTCGAAATGAATGCATCCGTCGACCCGGGAGTGCATGCGCAGAGCTGGGTTACGTGGCTTTTATTTAGCGGATGTTAGCGCGTCCGGGGCGGATGGTATCGCGTCCGCGGAGGATAAAGCGCGCGGAGGGCGGGTATGCAGGGCGCGGCGAGCGGTAGCACGGACGCGGGGTCGGGCGCAAGGGCGTCGTGCGCGATTTCGACGACGCGGAAGCATTCCGATGAGCCGAACCCACGCACTCCGACGAGCCGGACGCGGACGCACGCACGCCCGCGTTTCGCCAGACGAGTTCAGGGAGACGAACGGGCGCGAGGGCTCCGCTCGGGCAGGAGGGCGCAGGGCGTGGGGACGCAGAGAGACGCACATGCAAAGATCGAGAGACGTACGCCGGCAGGGGAGCGCAGCGCGGAAGCACATTGCATTGGCGGACGAAGGGCACGCGCAGCAGGCGGACGGCGCAGTTCCGAGTCTCGGAGTTGAAGGACATAGAACAGGCGATATAATGCACGCGCAAAACCTGTTCGACACCTCGCGCCTTGCGCCCACCATCTATTATCTGTCGATCCTACGTCAGCGCAGCTCCTCGCTTGGGAAGAAGTAGACGAGCAGACGCGCCTTCTCCCCATTCTTTTACAGCGTGCGGTGTTGGAATTAACGCCTTGCGGAGCTTGGCGAAGAGCTGGGGCGCGGCGCAGACTTCGGAGCAGTGCATCATGCTGCGAGTACGCGCGCGCTAGACGGATGTGGCCCTCGGACAGAAACTGCATGGAATGAGTGAGATCTGGAGGTTCCTGTGAGCCGCAGTTGAGTCGGGAGAGATCGGGACAAGAGGGCATGCCTAAATCCCTGCCGAACTTGTGCCGATCATGGGCCGATTACGTGGCACGCAGCCACCACTCCCTCTCACACCCAACATCGACATCGCTTCTGGTGCTTTACGATGTCATAACTTTCTTATACTGATAACGAAGAGGCCTTGTTCCTAACCGTAACACACTTTCTCGGATGCCCAGCTCAAGTCGGATTCCAGATCGGTATCACATTCAAGAACGAAGCGTCAACGCGGCACTCTGGATCCTGGACGGCGGCAGCGAAGAGGTACACCGATGTACATGGTTTCGATGGACGTCTGAATCGTGTCCCCGATCGTTCCTGGCTACAACAATCGCGACATCACTCGGGCTGTCGCGCTTTTTCGTCGACGTCGCGCTTTGTCTGCTCGATCACGAACTTCGGCTGTTTTGTTATTTGATTGCCACCACGCTCCAATCCGTCCCTTGACAATGGCCCCGGCAACTCCGTTTTTGGATTGTGGGCATTATTGGTTGCCGTTTTTGGGTGGGTGGCTTTAATCCCACTGGTCCATTGTTTGCGATGGCGACTTATAAAAGGGAGACCAGGAAGCCCTCTACCGTACCGATCCACCTCTACTTACTTGGCTGGTCCATTTGCCCTCACTCCTTTGCTTCAGTCTCCTCACTCCCGCATCAACGTCATCTCCCGCGATGTACAACTCCTTGCCCTCTCATCCTGCGGTTCGTCGTTCTGCATAGGCGACTGTGCCACCCTGACGTGGCTGCTTTGATACCCACAGCGCCGCAATGCCGTCGACTTTGGCGCCGGGGAAAACCCGCAGGTAACGACCTCAGCTTTCGCCCCTGTATCCTACCTACATTTATACGTGCAGTATTCCTACCCCGTCACCGTCAGCCCGTACTATGTCGAGAACGCAGTCTTCAAGCGCACGGCGGTACCCTTCCCGGTGAGTGCCGCGTTGTGCCGACGCTGCCTGGGTACTCACGATGCGGCGTGCAGAAGGCGCCGCGGCCAACGGTCCCGTCCCAGGACACCCTGCATCCCTACGAGCTCCTCGGCCTCAACTGCTCGGGGTCCGGGAACCACCGTCGTCATCCCTCTCGCTCGGACTGCGCCGAGTGCAGGGCGGACTCGTACATCGCCACCGCGCGCGAGCGCTACCCCCACGCCGTCGCCGTCGTCCCCGACGGCCCGCTGCGGAGCAAGATCGGCGACAACGGCCTCGCCGTCACATTCCGTCCCCCTTCTTACCCGGGAGGCCGTCTGCGAGACGCCGGCGTTCTTGTGGATGACATCCTGAACTTCCGCGACTGCATGCTGCACCCCGCCCTCAAGCTCCTCAACCAGCGCCAGCCCGGCGCCCTCCCCGTCACCCTCCACGTACGTCTCCGCCCCCTCCCTCGGCCATTTCGCTGCTGATCGTGCGTCGCTCCCTAGATCGAGAACCTCTGCACCGTCGAGGACATCCTCTTCGCGTCGTGCAAGCACCGCGTGATCACGAACTTCAATCTCGCGTGGTGGCTCGCGTTCCACTTCCGCATCCTCGTCCAACACGAATTGCGGCGCACGATCGACGGATTGGAACTCGTTCGTCTGTACTCGCCGGACGAGAAGCAGTGGGTGGCCCTTGCGCGGTACCGGGCTCACTAGCTTCCTTTTCTCCCATCGTGTTGCTTCTGTTATTAGTGTAGCACTGTATTAATCTCTGTTCGGAACTCGAGACCCGCGATATGGACGTATATAATACACAAATCTCTTCTCACCTATGTACGTGGCACCAAATATCCCAATTCTCTGTTTAGTCCTTGCCGCGCGAGTAGAGCGGCATGCTTATTATACGCACTCGATAGTCCAAGTTTCGAACATGGTCCGACGCTACGTACGAACTTGAGGAACAAGTAACCTATACATCCAAGGCGCCTATCCATACTTCGTCATGCCCGCAAAGTAAGACATGGATATAAGAAAAAATTGACATTTTAACCCCGATTAACCAGATTCCTGGATTCTGTTTTGCGCGACACAAGCGTGGAAAACGCGCCCACAATTCCAAAATTAGCGAACCGTCCGTCCGTCTCACACGAGGCTGTTATCATCTCAATTAAACGCTTCACCTCTACTTCTGGCACAACTAGGGCATAGATCATAGATTAGCGCAAACGTTGGTATAGTGCTGAAAAATAGTCGGGTATCGAACGGTGCTAAAGCTACAAACGGAGGGTATGGACATTGGGCATATCGGAAAGAGCATAGGAAGGCAGCCGGTGTTTACGAAACGTGAAGTCGCCAGACGTCCGCCCTCTCAGTGGCCGAGAGGCCGCGGAATTTCGTGTTTCCCATGAGGAAATCCACGCGCTTGACGCCATGCTTCTTCTCCTCCTCGTATCCGCGATGGCCCTTGAGCCGCATGTAGCGGTGCGTATACGCGGCCGCCGCGCGGCGCATGAGCTTGTGCGTCCCCAGCGCGTTGAATTCCGCGGGGGTCACGTTCACGCGGAGCGCCCGGTACAGGGCGGCCAACGCGTCCGAGACCGTGACGTAGTGGCCGTTGGACGCGGAGACGGCGATGGACCATGGAAGGTGTGGCGTGACGATGGAGATGCTGTGCTGGGGCGGGTAGACGGCGGGCTCGAGCATGCCGGCGGACGAGAGGCCCTGGTAGTGGGTGGATACCGTCGATGGGTGCAGCGAGATGTCGTAGGTGATGAGCGGCGACTCGGAGAACGCCATCAAGTTATGGGCGCGGGTGCTCCTCGCCGACGTTGTGTAGGAGCGGCGCGGCGCATATGGGCTCGGACCAGGAAGGCTGGCATAGGGAAGAGATGGCGGGGTAAATGGGCCATAGGGGGAGCTCGCCGACGAGACGGACGAGCTCAAAAAAAGGAGCCGGTGAGTGGAAGGTGTTTCAGTCGAGAAGCGGACGTGTCTCCCTGGCATGTACTGTGGAGGAGTAGGTGCTGGTTGGTGTCCTGATGTGGGGACGATGAGTGATGGAACACGAAGATCCGGTTTATTTAAGCAGCCCACGGGCTTGTAGATCCCGCATGACTCGTGGGGTATACTGCCTCCGGCGTGATGTCAAGCACACAGCCTTGTCCGAAAAAGGATTCATCTCGCCTATACGGGGATGTGAGGAGGGAAACGACGTGTATCACCTGCCAATCTATCACCCCAGTCCGCATGAGATTCTACAGCTTTTGGCTTTTGGCGGGGTCCAATCGAGGTCACCGAGCAATCCGAGATATGTACTGCACAATGCAATGTCCAAAATGTGCTGCCGAAATGGAGCAAACTCTATAGCCACGGCCAAGGTGCTACATCCGAGGAAGGGGATGAAAGGGTTGAGTGCCAATGCTCG